CTTCTCCTTCTCCTTCTCCCCTCCTCCTCCTCTACCTGGCGTATTGGTGGTTGTCTATTGCTGTTGTAGAAATAGAAGAATTGATACACCTGTTATGAAACATCAATCCCATCAATGCAGGAGCAGACGACACCCAACTTTTGAGAGCCTTTTCCAGGGTTAAAAAGTCATCTTATACCCTGGAAAATATGGTAATATGAACAAATGCAATAAAATATTATGGGAAAGACTTTCTACAGTTAGCTCTGCTTTATGGCATTTCTCATCTTCTCCCTGGCACATGAATGGGAAAGAGACAAAATGTTGGTATTCGGGAGTTCTGACTAACAGACACTACAGATCCTCATGGAACAAAGTCTTATTATTGGTTACATTTCATTGTATCTAAGTTGTGCAAACCACTTTGAGAACATTTATGATGAAGGGTGTTTGTAAACATTCTAAATAATTAAAATACAATCTTTTTCATATATTTTTCTTTGATATGAATTGTTGCCAGATAAGCATACCAAGGATTTTGAAGAGAAATACTGAATTTTTTATTCCAGCAGAATAAAATTCAGGTTATGTTTCCTATGTTCATTAGATTAACTAGACTTTATTTCCCTCTACTTCTTAGTATGAAAGAATTAGAACCATGACAATTACTTTTTTCCCTCCTTTAATGGCCCACTCTATCTTTGTCTGTTCTTACTCATTAATGATTCATTCACTTTTCTTCTCATCAGTTGACTTCTCTTCATCCTACTGCAGTTCCACCAGAATATCTAATTTATGCACTTCCTGAGTTCACTACTACTTCTGGAGGTGAAAAACATGATGCTTGTGGCCTTATCAATGCCATCTAAACTACAGAAGACAAAATTTGTCCTGGTTCTATATTCTTCTAGGATTAGAGTTCAACATTTCTTACATTCTAAAATTCTGTATCTGAAGCCAATTCACACCACTATGTTGGCCATATGCTGAAATATACATGCTACTGAACCAAACATGAGCTGTCCAAACCTGTATCAATTTCACATGAGAGTCTGTTTATTTGAAACTCTCTCACCTACTATTGGGTGTCAGTAAACAGCAATGTTTATCTGAAACTCTCTCACCCACTATTGGGTGTCAGTAATTAGCAATGGGACAAACCTTACTAGGGGAATAGTAATTTAAATGGCAGTGTGAATAGGCCTAGAAGTTTTCTTCATAAATTTTAAGTCTGGATGTCCCTGCAATGTACACTGTATGTGTGAAGTGGCTATCAGTTTTTTCAAATCATGAATGTATAGAAGAAAGTTTTAATGGGCCCTAGTTTTCTATACTATGTACATATGCAGGAAAGACAGCATGGATGTATTTCAGGGTCCAACATAAATACTTGTGACAACACACCTACTAAATGTGTAAGATGTAAGCAGATACTACTAAGTTTGAATGCACCACAGGACATTTATATCTATTTCTACAGCTTCTCTCTTCTTTCTCTCTTGCATTATATTAAAGGGACCAACTCAGAGCACCTGTCATAGTGGTTAGAATTCTTCTAATTTGGAAATAAAATATCTTAATCTTCAAGTCATTTCCTCAATTAGGCTCTCCTTTGAAATGCAAAGGAAGGAAGATATTCCAGTTATCTTCCCACAGTAAGGCTGTTCATCAAAGTTCAGGAGACATAATATAACTTTTTTTTAACACTTCTTGCAGAATGCTAGATTTTAACCCAGGTCCTAAGGAAGTAATGACTGCAGCTATTACACAACATCAAGCTTCAAATACTCTCCTGCAAAATATATACAGTACAGTTGTCTCATGAAATTGATTACATATTGTGCTTTTACAGGTACCTCAGAATCTCTCCTTGTCTCTCTCTCTCTCCCACACCCTCTATCTATCTTTGGAATTAAAAACGCAAACCAAGAGCACTTCTCCCAAGTTTGTTCTGGATCCCAGAAGGATGCAGTCAATCACTGAAGATAGATAGATAGATAGATTGATAGAAGTGATTAACAAACAAAATGTTAAAATACAAACAGCAACCAGCTTGGGGAAGGTATTATATGCCACAATTGCTGTAAGGGGAGGGGGGAAAGGAGCAGAATCATACCCAGAAACACCACGTGTGCTTGGCAAGTGGAACTACCATGGAAGAGAACTACCATTCCAAGGCAATCATGAAATAGAAGCCAGATTGAAAGCCTATTGATGTGTTTTGCACAACAGGTGCACAACAGTATTGAATTGAATGTAAGGCAACAGCAGGATGGACATGCCACCGTGAGATAAGTACCAGCCAAAAATACTGATTATTCTGTTGAAATTCTGCTTTTAACCCTCAAGTGATAATGTCCTTAATTAGAGTAACCAAACTGAAATCTAAGGTGTAAATCAGGGGTAGGCAACCTTTCCCCTTTAAGGGCCGAGGGACTTCAACTCCCAGAAGCCTCAGCCATGTTGGCCAATAGTCCCATGTTGGCCAATAGCTCCTGGGATTCTGGGAGCTGAAGTCCCTGAGCCCTTAAAGGGGAAAGGTTGCCTACCCCTGGTGTAAATTATCTTTACCAGCTTAAGTCTCATTGATTCCAATAGGTTTATAATAAACACAACTCAACCACAACCAATGGCTTTATAATAAAAAAAGCAAAGCAGCTTAATTTATATACCACTTCATACTGCATTATGCAGTATCTAAGCGGTTTACAACTGTAAGCTCATTGCCCCCCAACAGTTGGGTACTCATTTTAGTGACCTCAGAAGGATGCAGGCCTGAGTCAAGCCTGAGCTCTGGCTAGTATTGAACTCACAACCTTGTGGTTTATGAGTGAGTGGCTGCAGTACCATTATCTCTTGCCTTTGCTTCTGTCTTTTGTTTGAGGAAAGATGCACTGCAGAAAAAAATGTAGTTGTTCTAAAATACTAAAATTCTCATTGCTTTTTTACTCCTTTTGTTGGGTGTACTGGTTAGGGCTCCTGGGAACTGCAATCTAACAACATTTGAAGGGCAACAGGATTCCTACCCCAAGCTTAAAGCAACAAAATGTCAGGTAGATTGTGCAAGTCAAGTCTGTTACAGATCAGTCCACAATTCAGTGCCACTGACACACACAATGTTGGGATGGTGGAGCCAGAAGGAGAGAGGGAATTGACTTGTTCAGGCCCTTAACAGCCTGTTGTACAACAGATGGGGAAATAAGGTACTGGAGAGGTATATACTGGCACTATACAGAGGTATTACAGGGATCCTTTCACACTATATGACACTATATAACAGCACTATAATTCCACTTTAACAGTCATGGCTACATCCCAGGGAATCCTGGGTTTGTAGTTTGGTGAGGCACTAGAACACTTTGGCTTTGAATATCCCCCCAACTGCATATCCCAGGATTCCACAGAAAACTGCCATAGCAGTTAAAAGTGGAATCATAACACTATAATTGTACAATATGAAAGGGCCCCAGGAGGAAAGAAGAAAAAAGGTTACATTTTACTTTCCTCTTCTCTGTTCTACAACACACAATGATACATGTTGAGATACATGACTATCAGCCAGCCCCAAACAAAACATTATTAGTAAATGCTATGTAATCTAGTAGTACAAGAGTTTAGGCCAGAGGTAGGTAACCTTTCCCCTTTAAGGGCCGAGGGACTTCAGCTCCCAGAATTCCAGGAGCTATTGGCCAACATGGGACTATTGGCCAACATGGCTGAGGCTTCTGGGAGCTGAAGTCCCTCGGCCCTTAAAGGGGAAAGGTTGCCTACCCCTGGTTTAGGCTTTATCCATAGCCTATCTTTCCCCCTAAAATGGGACTGAAAATCCCATTTCTAATATGTTCAACAGTAAGGAAATTAGCTGCTCCAAGCTAGCTGATGCCCTGAACAGAAGGACTCCTCTTTGGGACTGGAGATACAATGCCACAGTCTGTTGCAAGCTGCACTTGTTTAGATACTACAGATTGAGTCTTCCTTATCTGAAATGCTTGGGACCAGAAGTGTTTTTGATTTTAGATTTTGAAGTATCTGCATATATATATAGTGACATATCTTGGAGATTGGGTTCGAATCTAAACATGAAATTCATTTATGTTTTATATATTTACAAAACATAGGTAATTTTATACATAATACTTTTAATAATTTTGTGCATGAAACAAAGTCTGTGTACACTGAACCATCAGAAAGCAAGGGTGTCTCTATTTCAGCCACTCATGTGGACAATTTTGGATTTTGGAGTATTTCAGATTTTGGAATTCCAGATAAGGGATACTTAACCTATATTATCAAAGTCTTTTTCTGTGTGTTGGTTTTGCTTTCCAGGCCCTTTGATGTCACCATTCTATATTCATTCACCACTATTTGTTGCTTTCAGCAAAGTAAGTTTGCAAAAGGTCAGTGGCTGGAAAGTATAGACATGTAACACTTCACTGCACTTGAAGAATAGGTTTGATTAAAGTGTTTAACCCAAAGTCATTAACATTTTATACTTGCCTAACTTGGGAAAAATGGTTGATGGGAGAAGCACTTTGCAGTATAATTCCCTAAGTCTTTCTTCACATCATTGTATCTTACCAGTACAGATGCACAATGGAGGCTCAGTTCTGTCCAGGTTTCATTGTTTTAAGCCATGTACTATCTATGGCAAAACAGTAAGGATGAAAATAATACCAGCAGTTAATATAAGCCTCAGAACTTGTTCCCACCATTACAGACCCTGGTAGATATTGTGGTGTGCCTTGTCATTTCCAATTTATGTTGATCCTAAGGCAAACCTATCATGTTTTTTCCCCAAGATTTGTTCAGGAGGGAGGGCTCAGTTTGTCTCCCTCTGAGGCTGTGACTCACCTAAGGCACCATGTGGGTTTCCATGGCCAAGCAGGGATTTGAACCCTGGCATCGAGAGTTATAGTCCAAAACTCAAACCACTACACCACACTGGCTTTCAATTCCTGGTAAATATATTCAGGGATAATCCATCTGACAGTGATCACCTTAATCCTAAAATGGTTCAGAAGAATTGGAAACAGAGCTTAGACAAAAAAAATTATTAATGTTTTAACAGAATATTCACTATTGTGCAGCTTCTGAACCTAAACCTGAAATCATATTCTTGTCTTAATAAAGGAAAAAAAACAACCTCCTTCCTTGCATCAATCTGGTGATAAAATAAAGTATCAAGAGTTGAGCTGTTCCAGAACCAAACACAAAGAAGCTACATTATATGGTATATTTTGGACTTTTCTTGAGAGCTGCAGAAGATATTAAATTAAATCTAAGAAGGATAAGGCACCAATCCTATACAAACTGAAAACTTGGAAAATTTCATTATTTGGACTGCAATTCCAGACCATTTGGTTAGTGAACCTACTGGGTAGGGGCTTCTGAGATCTGTTTCTCACAACTGATCTTTTCAAGCTGGCACACTTAAACAGAAGCAAGATAAATACTGGCAATAGAAGTACAACATTGTTTCTAAGTTCAGTATTATTAAGTAAAAGGTTAAAAAAGGAAGTAAATAAAGGTTAGCTTGATTTTGCAACCTCAATATTGGGGTGATATTGATCTAAGAAAGCCCTATGAGTTGAGGCACATACACACCCACATTGGTGAAGAAGCCAAAAGGTGCAGATCTTTAGGACAGACCTTGGGAACAGAGAGGACAAAATGAAGCAACAAGCCATGTTCACAGGGAGAAAAGTTTTTTTTCTAAAATATGTTAGGAGCACTAGTATAAAAAAAAGCTTTTTAAATAGCCATATATAGGTGAGCTTTCTGCTATGTGACAAGTTATAAATAATGTGGGCTAATACAAATATTTAGCGCAGATTATCTTGGCCTAAACTCTGCCTGTTTTTTTTTTAAATCAAACCAACATAAAAACAAAAACAACCTTCACTTCTTTAGCTGATCACTTCTCAAGATTATAGAATACCCATTTGGAGTACAAAAGGCTTATTGGTGGATAATTTGAGAAAACACTTTTGTCTCCCTTCTTGTAAATATGAAGATCAATATTCAAAGTCCAACCATGAGAGATGTTATCAGTTACATTGATAAAAGCAAATGGTTTTTTAAATGATTGGCACACAACAATCTGGATTATGATTAAAAAGTTCCTGAAGAATGTCATCTGCTCCTGCATTGATGGGATTGATGTTTCAGAACAGGTGTATCGATTCTTCTATTTCTACAACAGTAATAGACAACCACCAATCTGAACCAGGAGCAGGAGGGCAGACATTTTATATAAATTCAGTATTGATTCTTTTAGAAGAAGAAGACTAAATAAACATTATTTGTAAAACCAAGGATAAATTCTTAGATCACAACTTGTGCAAATGCAACATGCGAAACATGCATTTCCATCATAAACACGGCAGCAGCTCTGCACCATTTTATCAAAAGAGCTAGAACATCAAAGAGCATGAAATGCCTGAATAATATAGTAAATGTTATAAGAAAAAGAGAGAGAGAGAGAGAGAGAGAGAGAGAGAAAAGAACGAAAAGGATGTTATTCCAATTTGAAGACTTCCTGTCACTTAAAACTGGGACTTTATTACTTCATTGTGTGGAAAAAATTACATATGAGAAAGAAATACATCTGCAAAAGAATACGGAAAGAAAACAGGAAGAAAGTCCTGCTAGGAACAAGAAAAGGCTGAGTTTTTAGAAAATGAGTTTTTAGTTTTCCCGCACTGGTAAGTTTTTAGCTTACCTATTTAAAGCAGCAACAAGGCTTTATTCTCCTCTGCAAAAAGAAGGACCAAGACCATTTGACCATAATATTTTAACACAAGGAACTCCAAAGTAACCTTTAACTTTAGTGCTCATTCTTCCTCTTGTGCTCAGCACAGAGCAATCTAATATACCTTATCATGTGGTGTGTTGCTATAGTAACAACGAATCCAGCTGCTGCAATACAAAAGACTGACAAAAACTTGTTTTTCTCCTTCCACCCACCTAGTTAGACTTAGGATGCTTTCCTTATGGCTATGCAGCGTATCTAATCCAAATACACGTCTAGTACACAGACCTGGATTAAAGCATGTAGCAGAATGCTGAAAAACAAACTGAGAATTACATTTGTTTTAGCCAACCTTCAATAATGATAGGCAAGCACATTGCCTTTCACTGTTTAAGATTTATAAGGAATCCAAAGAAAATATCACCAAGGGGGAAAATGGTCCTACTGAAGAACCTTCCACACACATTCACTGTGCAAGTTGGCCTTTCATATCCACAGATTCTTTGTTCATGCAGTCAACCATCCATGGTTTGAAAATATTCCAAAAACATATAAATTCCCAAAAACAAATCTTGATTTTGTCATTTTATAAAAGGGATGGCATTTCACTAAGCTATTGTATTTAATGGGATCTGAGCATCCACGGATTTTGGTACCCACGAGGGGGTCCTGGAACCAAGCCCCAACAAATACCAAGGGCCTACTGTCATCTAAAGTGTGTGGAACGCCATGGGCAGGTTGTATGTAGTTTTGATGATGCTGTAAAGTGTTGTGCAAAACTTGTGGCACTATATAAATAAATACTACTAAATAATAATAATGGAATCTGAAGCAGAAAAAAGTAAACTACAGAAAGGAGAGCTATAGCATTTCACAAAAGCAGCTTCATTTATATACAGCTTCATATCACGCTATGGGATGTCTAAGCGGTTTACAACTGTAAGCTCATTGCCCCCCAACAGCTGGGTACTCATTTTAGCGACCTCGAAAAGATGCAGGCCTGAGTCTAGCCTGAGCCCTGGCTAGTATTTAACTCACAACCTTGTGGTCTATGAGTGAGTGGCTGCAGTACAGGCATTTAAGTACAGCGCCACCAGGGCTCTTAAGAAAACTTGGCCATGGCCAAGGAATGTCACAGTATGGTCAGAATGGCAAAAGTTGTTAAAAAGCAAGAAGACACAAGATAGGAAGGGGTGCAGCAGTTTGTTTTTGTCTCATGTACTGGAAGGAACAAGATCCTGCCACCTCCTTCCTCCACTCAGTTAACTGAGAGTAAACCACTTCTTCACTTTAAACTTAGGGCCTTTGCAGATTGCCAGAAACAGTGCAAATTGAGCTCACTTGAACTGTCCTGGCTCAGTGCTAGGGAATCTTGGGAATTGTATTTTTTTGCTGAGACATTGAGCCTTCTCTGTCAGAGAGCTCTGGTGCCACAATAAACTACAGTTCCCATGATTCCCTAGCACTGAGTCAGGGCAGTTAAAGTGGCCTCAATTTGCACTATTTCTGGCAGTCTGCAAAGGCCCTTAGTTTGCAGCAATTGAAGTAGGCTGGGGTCAAAAGGAGAAATGGGAGGAGAAAAAACTGGGATATTTTAAAAGCAGATGAAAAAGTGGGACAATAGAGGATGAACTGGAATTGTCCTGCTAAATCAGGACAGTTGGAAGAGCGACAACTTTGTTGTACAGCTTACACCAGGGGTTGGCAGCCTACGGCCTGTGGGCCAGGTCCGCCCCCCCGAGGCCTTTGGACTGGCCCCCGCCGACCCCCGCCCGCAGTGCTGCCGCAGTGCCGCCACCATTTTGTTTTCCAAAATGTCAGCCGTGACTCATTTGCGCATGCGCAGTACTCCTGCACATGCGTGAACGAGCCACGGCCACCATTTGAGAAAACAAAATTGCGGCCGCGACGCTGCCATTCCCCCCCCTCGGCCTGTGGAAGACCTGGAGGCCAGCAGACCGGCCCCAGGAAAGAAAAACTTGCTGACCCCTGGCTTACACTCTGTACACAGAAGTCTCCAGTATCTCCACCAATGCTGGAGAAGTTTTTTCATTAAGTAACACTGGGCCAAATAGGACAATAGTATAATGCAGCTTCCTAAACCACACTGTAGTGTGCCTTCCAAGCCATTTACGACGTATGGTGACCTCATAGGCTTTCTGGGGCTGAAAGTGTGTGACTTGCCCAAGGTCATCCAGTGAGTTTCTGTGAGAGAATGAGGAACTGAATCCTGATCTCCAGAGTCATAGACCAACATTCAAACCACTAGATCATGCTAGCTCTCTCTAAACCAAATACTGCAAGTGAAACTCCTCAAAATAAAAACAGAAATTACAGAACAAATATATTATGTATTAATAGCAGACTAAGCAGATATTCTCTCTTAGCCTTAATAACATAGCAATCAGCACTTGTTGTTTAAAACATGAACTTTTTGCAGAGACCCCACAAGTTAATACACTGTAAGGCACTAGTTAAGACACTAGCCTTCTATACCAGGCATTCCATATCAAATAGACAGTGAGACTAGAAGGCATAAACTGAGACACCTGGCAAATCAGACTGCCATCAGTGTTCAAATTCTGCTTGCCTATGTTAACTCTGCAATCAAAATTTCTTGGATGTAATCAATGTGCCCAACCTCTGAAATTTCAAGTATATATTGAATGGTATATATAGTGTGTGGATGATGAGTGTTGTAGTGATGCTCTTTAGCACCCAGCAGAATCTGCAGGACAAGCTGGCTGCTGTGATCCACAGCCACTTTGTAATTCTTACCAACAACTGTAGTTCAGCTTCCCTTCTTCAGGAACCTGTCTTCCTCAGTCAAGAAGACACATTGTAAAGTCCAAAAGCATAGCTTTATTAATGCATATAAAAGTAAAAAAAAAAAAAAAAAAAAAAAAAAAAAAAAAAAAAAAAAAAAAAAACTAAGTAAAATCCATTGTGAATAACTTGTCCAGTTTAGCCATATAAGATTACATCTTTAACAATCCAAAAAGCATTAGGATCCA